GCAAGAAATATAAAGACATTAATATGTTTAAAACTTCAAACTTCTATACGCTTTACAGTGAGTATAACAGATAAAATTGTAAGAAGTTTTGTATGATGCCTTGAACATTTCTAGCTATGATTTTAGTAACATCACAAATGTGAAATAAATTACTTCATATACTGGTGTTTTTTCACTGACTCGTTATAAACTTTCTGTCAGTCTACCGGCTAAGCCAATTTTTAGTTAACTGTTTTCTCAATTCTTATTTGCAGTTACTGATTATTTTAAAGACTGTGCCGTAGAACCAAGTTTAAATACATTAATAGCGGTTATAGTAATACTAAAATTCAGAAAGCTATAAAGTACCTGATTCAAATCAAAATAACTTTTTTGGGGCGTTTTATAGCTCATTGTTGTGTATCCACTTCATTGTAACGGCAAAAGCTGCATAAGAGCGAGGGTTTTATAAGTTCTAGAAGATATAACGTTACAAACCAGAAAGGTGTTGTAAGAAACTAGACAATTCGATAGAGTACGTCAATTATTGAGTTAGGACCGTCGATCTAATTAAACAAAAGCAAGAGAACATTTTTTTACATATTTAATGTAGAATTTTCAGTATCTTTGAAACTTTTTGCTTCACATTTACGGCATTTTACTTCATTTTCGTAAAATTTTGAAATTAATCAAATATAATTAGCAGTATTAACGCTTGAAATAGGATAAATTTGTAAAATAACTGTGATTTCTCAAGCGTATTAATTTACACTTGAATGTTAAGAATGAGACAAATATTACTACATTTTGTATGCTAATTAACTTTATACAATTATATAATTCATCAGTTATATGAAAATGTATATCATTCTATAAACTTAAGGTGGCTTTATTGCCGTATCTACTTCTATTTCTGTTTTCTGCTTGAAGACTTTATGAAACAGCTTTCTGCGCAGTAACTCGCTTGTCTGTATGATCAGATATGAGCTATTAAAAATAAATAACTTTTTTAGTCCTCCTGTAAAAAAAATAATTTTCAAAATAGTGACCGTTGTTCTACTGCAGTTTTTCAACAGTTCTAATTTATTGACTTACTCTCTCTTTTTCTGCAGTATAAGCCTCATAAAAGCTGCGCGATAAATTATTTAAAATTAGTAAGCTATAAGCCATTTCACGTTTAGACCTATAATGACAGATTTTTTGAAAGGTCATTAAGAAGCGAAGTTTTTAACAGAAAAAACATACTAGGCCACTTTTATACTGCTATCGTGATCTTGTCAAAGCTTATCAAATGAGCTAAACTGCTAGAATATCGACTGTATCCTAAGTCCAATTTCCAATTAACTAGTTTCTTAATGATTATTTGTTATGAAGATTTTAGATGTACACTTCTGTACGCTGTTAAAATCTTAGAATCTTTAGGGTGGCTCACCGTTCGTTCACAAACGGCTCAATGACGGATAATGCAGCTGAACAAAATCGTTTGGCGAAGACGCAAAATTCGATAAGCATTTGGCATGAAAGAGCAACAAAATATCTGTGTCACCGTTTCATCATTTCGGAAACCCAGGCGCGTACAAACATTGGTTATCCTTGTTGTCTTACGCTGTATCAATATCATCAGCAAATTCTCATTTTTAGCGAAAAATCTCGGGTGCGATAACCATTAAAAAAATCATAAGAAACCGTTTTGAGCAAATTTCTTTGGAACTTGTGCCGAAGTCTTTTAAGGACGAGGTCTTCGCCTCAGTTAACTCAAAAGCAAATCTTTTCCCAAAACTGTTGGCCTTTTACACAGAGATATCCGGCGCGTGGAAAATTAAGCCGTCTGAGATGTAGCAGAACAGTGAAATAAGCTGTTTTTTGTGTGTTTATCATTCCAAAAAAGTTTTCTTAGCTCTTGTCCTTTTCCACTCTCTTTTTCCACTTTGCTCTGAGGGACCTTTTATTCATTGATTCATGGAATACTCTTCCTGGAATCGTATCTGTTCGTGTATGAATAATTTCTCATTCTTTATAAATTGTTGAAGTCAAGTGATGAGGAACCAATGTGATTATTTAACAACTTGTAATTTCAAAAACTTTAAAAATATCAAAAACAGGAAAATGAGGAATTTTCAACTATGCAAACAGATCCCCGTCACCAGTTATGAGGGCTAAACGTTTAGTTTTTGAATCAAGTTTTATTTTATTACTATCAAAATGAAAAGCGAGCTTTCTATAACGTTTCTGGAAAACATTGCCATGTAATACTGGACATATTCTCGTAACGCTTAGTATGGTGAGAAATAATTAGTTGGATTTGAAAAAGAACAGTGAGATCAACTTTCAATTGTTTTTTGGCAATAAAATAAAGCAACTAGCTTCTAATAATTGCAAAACGAAGAGTAAATGTTAGTAAAATAAAACAAGAGAAGAAGACTAAGAATCAAGAGCAAATAAGGAATATAGGGCTGATTAGATATAACCGGTAAAGCATAAAAAACGATGAAGGATAACAAGGCTTTGATAGATTGTCATAAGAGAAACTGTCTGAATTTCATACACTAGTTCTAGATTTAAAAACGGATTCTTCTGTATGCCTAGAAGCTTTCATATCTCTTCCCTCTATCAAGAAAATACTGTTTTGTAATCAAATGCTTCTTATTAATAAATTTTTCAACAAACCATCGCAGTATAACTTTAAAAACTTCAGAAATAAAAGATTACGAGATGTTTTTAATAGCGATTTTCGCGGTTACTG